GGGGAGCTAGTTTTTTGCTTGTGCACATTAATTAGGAAATTTTTTAAATTTTTTTTTTCACTGTCTCATCTGCTAAAACTTTGTCTGTTTCTTTTGCTTTGTTATTTTAGGAATAAATTTGTTGAGTTTGATATGAAGCCTGTGTGCAAAAAATGTTACGAGAAGTTTCCTCTAGAGCTGAAGAAAAGACTGAAGAAATTAGCTGAAACTTTGGGAAGGAAGTAAAGACTTCATCTGCTCTCCTCTTCCTTTGTGAAAATCTTACAGATAAATACTTGTGGGGTAGGGGGGAGTTGCTGCTTTGAGGCTGCAGTCAGACAACAGATGCTGATGCATGCCTTCTATCAACCCAAAATATATTAAGATTCTCTGTTCTCTATACATGATGCTTACTTGTTGACAAACAGACCATACTTCCAAAATAAATACCAGCTCACCTGAAAGGTTTTTGACCAATAATGCCATTGTACTGATGCAGGTGGCCCGTTCTATACACTAATTCTCTGTGGAACTCTTCAGAGAGAGAAAATTTGCTTGTGAACGCCTTCTGTGAAAACAAACTTTGCAAATGTGCCCAACTTTAGGGACGTGTATTGTCATTTATGTTAGTGAAAATATTAACCTTCATATTAAGCATGCAGACAAAACTCACCCAGCCCAAGTGATTTGGGCAGGAAACCAGGACACTTTGCCTCATGGAAAAGTTCACACTTGAAGTTCAGGCTGAGTCAGCTCATTAAGGAGCCTTGTTTCAGATGGTTTGAAAACTATCAGATTTCTAAATACAGCCACTGTACAAATGACATACATAAAATGATAAACATGATAGATTATGCTTACATGGAGAATGTTTCTACATCAGGCTTAGCATGAGATACTTATATAAAAAATGTATTCCTATTGCAAGAAATGAGCATACTCAGAACTACTTGAATTTTGCTATATTCCACGTAAAATAACACATTAACTTCTATATATGCTTTTGCATTCTATTTACTTTTTGTGCCTTATTCTGCTGGACCATACATAACAGTGTACCATTAAATAGATATACTTTTATATTTTATTTCATATTTTTATGCAGAAACTATTATAGAAGGTATTTTCAAAAGATAACATACTTTGCCTTAATTATACAGGATGCAAGAAGTACTTTATTTGAAATGTGAACATCTGCATTTAAAATGTAGCTTCTAGACTTCATTGATTTTCAGAACAATACTGAAAATGCGTATTTCAATTAACTGGCAATATTACTTTTACACCTCTGTGTGTAAATATGCAAAGTTTGATCCTGCTAGGATCTACTTTAGCCATCTTCAAGGACTGAGCTTACAAATAATAAAAATACTTTATAACATACATTTAATAGTTTTATACTGTTGAGTTCTGTCCATGCAAATTTTTTTTATTTTCCCTTTGTCATAGAAAATACAGCTACTTAGGTCTTCATGATGGTACGAAGTATGCAAACTTTTTTTTTATTTTTATACATTAGTGACTTAAACAGATTTTATGTAATTATGTAACAGGAAGTAAAATTTTCTCTCCTGTTTGTGAAAAATTAGTTACTTTAAAACATCTGCTTTCCTGTGTCATCAATAAAGGCCATGTTATTAAACCTTGTATTGCCTCTCTGAAATAAATGCTTGGGATGGGTGCGAAAGCAGTAAAGCTCTCTCGGATCCCTGAGCTTTTACCTGTGACTGTAAATACCTGTAAATACTTCCTTATTAACTTGATTTAAAGGAGACATATGCCTTTCCTAAAGGCACGTGTCTGTATGTAGTTCCAAGGTTCATAAAAGAAACCACAGTTTGTTTCATAAGGAATAGCTTGATTATTCTGGGTATTTTCTCAATTGGCACAGTAACTAGGTTTTCCTAAAGAAAGTAACTTGTCTGAGTGTAAAACATACACCCTCCTGTTAACTTTGTCTCTCCTGTTTTCACTGTAATGAAACTGTCACCCCAAACTTCCAGTTTATTGCTAGGTAGGGTATTTTCTGGCTGTTTTATCCTACATAATTATTGAATGCCAGAACATTAATAAATGTAGTCAGTCCCCGACTCTGTTTAAGACTATACAAGCTTAAAATGTCCTCAAAAATTGTTTACTTAACTAGCATAGTAGCCCTGTTGGAATTTTGGGCTGTGCCATGGATTCAGTAGACCACACATACTCTTGCTTCCTCCTGAAGTTCCAACTGACTTCTAGGTTTTCATGTTACACTGCCTGTACATCTCCTCCTGCGTGTGCCCAGCCTTACTGCTCAGAGCCGGGAAGGGTCACTAGCCCTAAAGCTGAATGACAACACCTGGCTCATATCCACACTGCTCAGGGTCACATCCATCTGCAGCACAGTGGCCTCAGATTTCCCTGCTCTCTGGTGGCCCTTGGGCCTGGCACAGGCTGGGTTTTTCCATTTCCAAGTTCCTGATGGTGAACGCTGTGCTGCAGTTCACCAAGGCAGCCCCTTCTGTTTCATGAACTCTAGTGTGTGTGTCAGACCCCAGGATGCAGCACTCAAAGCATCTGAGGGTACTTGAGGGTTCAAAGCCTGATGAAGTGTGGAAAAATGTTGGATGGAAGGGACCCCTAGAGATCAGCTAGTCCAGCCATCTGCTCAGTGGCTCTAACTTCAGGGTTCTATCATACAGAAAGTCTTGCTTGACCAAACTGTGAACATCACCGCGCAAGGAGATTTCACAGGGCTTTGTGGATAGTATGTTCCAGTACTTCATCACTCTCATGGTGAAAATATTATTACTGGAGTCCTATCTCAAGTGGAGTGTTCCCCAAATCCATACTGCTCTATTGGGAACTTTGCCACGAACTGTCATTGGTATAATACCTCTGCACATGGTCATGAAGAGGATTAGTTAAAAGCAGTGCAAGGCAGAGCCAGGGAGCAAGCTAGCAATTAGGCAGCCTGGACAATTACACGTCTGGTGCTGAAGCTCACTTCCTGGCCCAAAGTATCATAAATGTTTGAGTAGCTGCACATACTTTCCTGAAAGATGTTTGCTAGTACTGTTTTTCTACCCATGACCCCTGTAAGGTCTGTCAAGGAATCCGTGAGCCTGGGATTTGGGAATGGATGCCTCAGGAGCTTTGTCCCTTTCTGCTTCATGGATCAATTCAATTGTGCATGGGCAAGAGAGGTTCCTTTAGACAGCCTGGCCAGGCTGACAGTAGGGAGCACTCCAGAAATCCCAGTGGATGTCGCTGTGGGGGGAAGAGCTGAGCCTAAAGCCTTTTGTCCTGTGCCCAGTTCAGTGAGCACACACAGCCAGGTTGCAGGGACACCTCTTGAGCCAGTATTGTCCCACCTGCTGCTGCAGCCACCAGGGACAGCACAGGGAGTGTCACTTCTGCAGCGCCGGGTGAGACAGTGACCAGAGCCAAAGCATGGACCTGGTCTATATGAAGGCAATTTCCCATGCCTCCCCATCAGCTGAGTGCAGTAATATTCTCCAGTGAGTCAAGAAACTCTGATGTTCTCCTCTGCAACACCACCAACACTGCCATTACTTAGCTTGGCAGGTGCAGATAATAAATTGTTTGATAATTGTTTGCTGCAGGCACACCATTAAAAGCACAGAGAAAAAAAATATTTGTTGCAGAATTAAATGCAGTGTCTAAATAAATCACTATTATAGAAGAAAAAAGAGAGGATTAATTCTTTCAGTCAGGGTCTTACATGGATGTTGCTGGTCTTAAAGAAAAAGTTGGCTATGTTTCCTTATTTTCTCTGCAAAGAGGGTAAGAGCTGTGAGGCTGTCAGTATGTTTAAGGTGTAGCAGGAATCCTGTGACTGTCAGTGGGTTGTTTGAGATTGAGAACTGGAGAAATTTTTAATTACACTTCTTCAGAGACATGGCCCAGTGGCCTCATTTTGACCAAAGCATCTGAACTGGCAGGAAAGATAGCTAATTCCAGTGAGTAGAATCTGAGGCTTCCTGCTGGGAATTTCACCACAGGGCTCATCCTCGAGCCACCAAACCTGTAAAACTACAGCTTGCAAATCTGTCCTGCCTTGAGGGTTGCTGGTCTATCTTTTAGTCCATGTTCCCAGCTGTGTTTTAGAGCTTAATTGTTTAATTATACTAGCCACAATCCTCGGAAAAAAAGGTTTCTCACCACAGCTGCTGCAATATTTGGATACTCATTTTCTAGAACACTGGATCTCAGTAAGATGGCCCTTATGCTTATAGATTAAATTTATAGTTGCTCTGAAGTATAGAATCATAGAATATTACAGGTTGGAAGGGAACTTAAAGATCTAGTCTTTAATGGTGGACACTTCCCACCAGGCCAGATTGCTCAGAACTCCATCTAACCCAGCCTCGAAAACTGCCTGGGATTGGCACCCACAACCTCTTTGGGCAGCCTGTGCCAGTGCTTCGCTGCCATCACAGTGAATAATTTCTTCCTTGTAGATAACCTAAAGTGCCCCTCTTTTAATTGTACCCATTACTCCTTGTCCTATCACTACAGTTCCAGACAAAGTCCTGCTTCCCCGTAGGTCCCTCAGATACTGGAAGGTTGCCATGAGGCTTTCGTGGAACGTTCTCTTCTCCAAGCTGCACAGCCCCATCTTCCTCACCCTGTCCTGAAGGGGAGATGCTCCAGCCCCCCAACTTCGCGTCTCTCCTCTGGACTTGCTCCAACGCTTCCACGTCCTCAAGTCATTCTTATGGTGAGGGTGCCAGAACTGTTACTTAGCTTTAGGGGAAAATTTGTTACCTAAATATATATATATATGTGTGTGTATATATATACATAGATAGAGTATATTATTTAGGTGATAAATATATAATCACCATATATATTTTTATATATCACTGAGGTGAGTTCGTGGTAGTTTTAGGTGAGAAAACGCTAACATTTGGTTTCTCACAGTTTTCCACGACAGATTTTCTCCCCCTGCCCCCGCGCCCCCTGTGCGCATGCTCAGCGCCGGCCGGCCCCGCCCCCCGGCCGTTGATATGGGGGCGGGAGGCAGCACGCGCCCCGGCTGCGCGCGCCGCGCGGCTGAGCGGGAACTTGCGTAACGCGCGGCGGCCGCGTCGCTGCTGCGCTTCCTCCCTCCGCCTCCCCGCCGGGGCCGCCGCTGCCGCCGTGCCGGCCGGGAGGGCGCGTTCCACCGCGACAGAGGCCGGGCGCGGTCCCCGCTGCCGCCGCGGCGCCATGATGAGGCGGACGAAGCCCGAGGTGGAGCGCTACGTCGCCTCCTTGCAGGCCGCGGCGCCGTCCCCCAGAGAGGTGAGCGCGGCCTCGCGTTGCCGTCCCCGCCGGACCCGGGCGGCGCTGCGGCCGCTCCGTGCGGCCGGTGCGGGGCCCCTTGCCGGCCCGCGTGGGGCGCTGCAGGCCCTGCCGCGCGTCCTGAGGGGCCGCGGGGAGGCCTCGCTGCCGCCGGGCCGGGGGCGGCTGCGCTCGCTGCCCCTGCGCTGCCGGGCTGGGGGTGGCTGCTCTCCGCGGGCTCCCGGCGCCGAGCCCGGCGCCTCGGTTTAGGGGCTTGGTCTGCTTGGCTCGTCCGTCCTTGGCGGTAAGAGGAAAAAGGATCCCTCTCTGGAGCGTTCTCTTTCTGGACGTAGTTAAACCCCACCTGGGCGCGCGGGTATCCCGTGCCCTAGGTGACTGAGCCATGGCAGGGTGTTGGACTAGATGATCTCCGCAGGTCTCTTCCATCCCTGACTATTCTGATGTTCTGTGAGTTAAGGTGTCTTTGGGAGTGTTTCTGAGCGCAGAATTGCTTAGGGTCTCTGTAAATCGAGTGAGATGAGGGGAGCTGAGGAAGGGCCCAGGTGTTTGGCGTGCTGAAGGTGGTTTCCCTAACTGAGAGCAGTGGTTTAATAGAGCTGTGCACCTGTAATTTACAAATGGTAAGCCCTAGTGTAGTTTTAGAGTCCATGAGTTCTCTGAGTACAGACTTCTTCAGTTTTGTAAGCGTTAAGTTCCTGTGTTTCCCGAGTTTCGTTTCTCAGACAAAGATTCCCGGGTTTCTTTATTTCAGAAGAATCTAACCAACGAAGACGTGAAGCACTTTCAGTTTTCTTTTATGTCTTATGTCATTAATATTCTTGTCTTTGCAGTAGTATTAGGAGAGGAGGAACTGGGAAAAAATAATTATTCTGTTATATTTTAGTAACTGGCCAGAAGGATGAGGACTTCTGCATAACTTGTTACCATTTTTCATTGTATCTGGAAAGGATCTCAGTGAGCAGTCTGACGCAATTCGTGGGAGCTATTTAATCCTGAAAGATCCTGTTCTACTGCTCTTGAATTGATTTTTTTAAAAGTTAGAATATTCAGCACTGTGTTGTGTAGTGTGAATACATCATGTTCACTACTATGCAGCAGGGCCTTTGTGCGGGCCTTGTGTGCATCATCATTATTTGTATCTCTTTCCCAACAGCAACAAAATTGTTCTGTGGCTTAATTGCTTTGGGTGCTGTTTAGAGCAGCCAATGTCAAGGGCATTGCTCTTAGAACATAGGTGCTCTGTAATTGCTTTGGTGTTCCTACTGAGCTCAATAACAAAATAAACCCTCTCCTGTTGTACTAAGACCAGCTGGTCCATATTTACTTCTTTAGGTTTTTTTTTTCTTAATAAGTAATGCTTACAACTAATTCTAATAGCACAATCACAGGTGGAAATGTTACTGATTTTCCTGTTGTGTTGATTTTAGGAGGGGGGTGCTTATAAGGCTGCAAATCATTTATATTGAGGTTTCCTTCATCCATGTTTAAAAGAAGATGCCAAATGCAGCTCCACTCTGACATGCTTCAGTGTTTCCCTTTTATAGCAGGCTTCAAAAATACAATCTGGAAACTTGAGGTGTGCTAGGAGGCCTGCTTTCATTTGTAACTGCTTAAAATTTCGCATGAATTACAGTGGTGAGGGAGGGAGACTTATAATTCAAGTGAGTTCAAAATATACACACTTGTTTGGAATCACATTTGTAACTAGCTCCAGCATTTCTTTGTTCAAAAGCAAAATTGTTTCTGAACTGATATTGAGAATTCGGGCTTTAAATTTGTCTGATGTGTTTGTAACTCAGTTCTTTAACTTGCTCCTTTCACTTTTCCTCCTGATCATGCTTCTGTCACTTTGGCTTCTTTTGTACTGCCTTGTAACAGGAAGATTGTTTCACCTTTTGCTCCTAGGGTGTGTATGTTAAAGTTATTTTAGTGAGAAATCAACTGGTGTATAAATGCCTTTCTTCCCAAGTGAGATTGACTTAAGCAAAAGTTGCTGTTTCCTCAAGTATACTTAAACAGTAGTGTCTAATGACAGTACACTGCAGTAGGGCTAAATGGCAGATCTCTCTTGATTTGTGGAATATCTTTTTTCCTTGCTACATTACACAGCAATAAACTAAATGTAGATTACACTATTCTTCCACTCTCTTTAATGAGTGATGTATGAATGTACCATGTATATAAAGGCTTGTTGTTTTCTTCTCTTGTAATCTCTATCTTCCTAGTAACCTTTGTATAGCAAAAACTTTTTTCATTTTTTAACCTACAACTTTTAAAAACAAGCCCTTATATATGATGGGTGGATTTGAGCTGATAATGAATCATCAAATTCAGTCCCTTGAGTTTTAGGTATTGCTGAAAAGAGGTCACTCATTAGGGATTTACTTTTGAAGTACTGAATGTCTAAAGTGTGTTTGTCATGCTTTTTCTCCTTCAGAAATCGATGAAAGGATTCCTCTTTGCTAAGCTGTATTTTGAAATTAAGGAATATGAACTTGCTAAAAGGTAACATGCATTGATGGATATTTTTGTTCTCTAAATGTAAAAGAAAAGCTTTGTTTTTATGAAGTAGACCAGAGAAACCAAGATGAGTATCATGCTGCTTAAAGTTAGCAGTGTGGACATTGAATATTCTTTAGATTTTTCAAATAATAAAACAACTTAAAAGAAGATAAGCTATGTGGTACTGAAAAAACTTACCTGGCTGAATTGGCTGGTTTTTTGCTTGCTGTATTAAGTAGTTCTTACCATTTCTACAAGTTCCTGCTTTTGCTATTTCAATCAACGCAAATACTGGCTGGTGAGTAAGTAGCGTTTGTACAGGTGTAAACCATATTGCTGCTTACTTAAAGGTCCTGACAAAGTGTCTGGAACAAAACATGTCTGTGCTGCTGTGGTTTGGCTAAAGCATCTAGAACAAAATGTGTGTCCTGTATGGCAGATAAAGTTGCTGTTAGAGCTTGGGTGGGAGGGGGACTGTTAGTGAAAAGTACTCGTTGAGTAACAGACTCTTTTCCCCTTCATAGATATATCTCTACATACCTCAATGTACAAGAGAGAGATCCCAAAGCACACAGATTTCTTGGGCAAATTTATGAAGCTGAGGATAACATAGAAAAAGCTTTTGGGTGTTACAAGGTAAGTACTATGTTGAGCTACAACCCTTGATGTTCTGCTTTATTCCTTTATAAAAGGACTTCTGAAACCCTTCTGTGGCTGAACATTTTCAAAGCCATAGGAGAAAACATGCTCCTGGGGAAACTGTCATACTCATTTAACAATGGAAAGCACATGAACCACAGTGGAGAGGATTCTTCACTTGATATTGCTTGCTTCTGTAGTATATTTTGAAGTTGCTTCTTTGTTTTTTCTTCTGGACTTGGTCTTTAACCTGCTGTTAAATTCTGCCCAAGTCATGCATAGCCTCTTGGACTACTGTCACAGAATCCTGTCATACAAACTGTGATGACAACTGGAATTTAGTTGCTGCTAGAAGACTGTAGGCTTACTGTGTTTTTTATTTGGTTGGTTTTGAGGAGGGCAGGTGCAGAGGGGAGGGTCAAATCTAATTTTGATTAGGCAAGCATATTAATGTCAAATTTCCAGTTGGGTTGCCTTTGTTCTGCTTTAGGGGAGAAAGACTCAGAAGTCTGGCTAATACAGCTCTGTGTATGAAGTGCTATCACACTTCTTAAACTGTCTTAGTTTTTTTTAAAGTTTTTACACCTGGCTAGACTAGAGGTTGTTTTTGTCCTGCTGTTTGTGTATAGCAGTAGCTGGTGATAGATGCAGAGGAAATGGTTTGCATTATTTCTTTTATGCTTTTCTCAATTTTAGCAGTTCTGTTTGGGTAAACTAGTGGTAGCATGTAGAAAGGCTTTTCTTATATGCTCTGTATCTAGATTTAACTCATTTGAATAGCTGGGTATGTTTGTGGGGATGTAACTCTTATGTGTTGTACATGGACCATAAGTTAAAGTTGCCTTTTTCTTTTTTTACTCCTGTGTCTGCATGGGAACAAATAGCGTTCTGTGGAGTTGAACCCAACACAGAAAGATCTTGTATTGAAGATTGCAGAGTTACTATGCAATAATGACATCACTGATGGAAGAGCAAAATATTGGGTTGACAGAGCTGCTAAGCTCTTTCCTGGGAGCCCTGCTATTTACAGGTTGAAGGTAAGTTCAAAATTACCTAGTTCAAAGGCCTGAACAAGCTTTCAGCACCTGTGTGGAGTTCCTTTTGCGTGTTGCCTCAAGCAAAAGTCTTGCTAAATTATTTTAGTATCTTTAATATTAAAACAACTATTAGATGTTACACTCCTTCTAGTCTGACATTTTTGTCCAGTTTTAAAGGAAGCTGCAGCTGCATGCGTTCATACCCTTTCTAATGTTTCAAGTTTCATTTTCTTCCAGAATGCTGAGAAATTGTTATTTATCACAGTCAAGAAGTTGAAGATTAGATAGGTGTCATTTGTTCTTTCCATTGTGTCACTGGCAGGAAGGTAGCTGATCTGTGAACTCAGACTTTGTTGCTTTACACTGCTTTTTTTTTTTTTGTTTTTAATCTGTATTATGATAATTTCTGCGGGGTGTGAGAGATGCTGCAAGTCTCAAATACCATGTAAATGCTTTATGCCATGCAATGTCACTTTTGCACTGGTATGTTAATTTTGTGTTGCTTTTTAATTTTGTGTAATTTTGGGCAGCAGCCATATTGAAGTCTCAAGGTGTCTGGGTTTTTTTTAAAGCAAGGTAGTCTATGGCATGGTTTGCTATCACTGAACCAAATGTTTTGAGAAGCACTTCTCTCTCTTGGTAAGAGGCAAATTCTCCTGAGGACTTCTGTGATAGTCATGTACATTTTTAAATATTTGAGTAGTTAATCAAACTTCATGTAATACCTGCAAGCTATTAAGAGTACTCTACCTAGAGCAATGTAGTCTGTGTAGTGAAGGAAAGAATGATACCTAGTACTGTAGTTGCTCAAGAGACTGATATGGCAAATGAAATATTAATATGTTGCCTTCATGTTTCAACAGGAGCAGTTACTGGACTGTAAAGGTGAAGATGGGTGGAATCAGCTTTTTGACCTGATTCAAGCAGAACTTTATGCAAGACCAGATGATGTCTACATAAACATCAGACTAGTTGCGCTCTATCGTTCAAATAACAGATTAAAGGATGCTGTGCTCCACTGTCAGGAGGCAGAGAAGAGAATACCTTTGCAGTCAAGCTTGGAATGGTGTTCCTGTGTTGTAGAGACATTTGAGGTGTTTAATCATATTTTGATCCTGTGGTAGTCTTCCGTATCTTTTTACCTGGTCTGTTTCTCTTAGTGTCCTTATTCTGGCAGCTGTTTCTCAAGGGATTTAACTCCTTCAAATGCAAGTCTGCTGAAACCAGTGGAACTACAAAATACTTCTTGTGTGTTTTTTTTTAATTGGAGTTTTCTCCCTAAAATTAAACTTTATAGAGCTATTGAGTTTCTAACTTCAAAAGCTGAGTTAGATGCAGCAGTTCCATTAGGGATAATATTGCTCAAGCGAGTAGTTCCCTGGAACTTTGCTGCTGAAGAATATGTTAAGTCTCACCTGTGAAACTGGATTATGCAATAAATGCTACTAGTGTGTTTTGGAGAAGTACTGCCCTTGTCTTCATGGAAGGATGACTGTTCCTTATCCTGTGATGAACTTTCTTCTTTAGGAATATCTGGAATCTTTACAAGACTTGGAGTATGATAAAAATAACTGGAGAACTATCAAGAAAGATCATCTGCTGGCCTATTCCAGCTTTGTCAAACTGACACTTTCTTCTAGAGATGTTCAGGAATGCAGAGAGGCACTTGAAAGGTACTGTTTAAACTTTTCTGTAGTAAGAAAAAGTCCTCTTAAGAATTGTTTGGGGTCACATAACATCTGCTAAGCTTCTGTTTCACAGCTTATCTTGTTTTTGGATGGGAGAGGAGATTCTCTGTACTGACCACCAAGAGTGTTTTTTACTGGGTGCAAACCCCAAGCTATCTTTGACAGATGCTTGAATGGTCAGCACACAGCCATGGAGAAGACTCATTTATATCCTGGGTCTTGGTACCTTTTCCTTTGATTGGAAAAGTTGTTCTGTACTTCAGCAGTTGACTAATCCAGATTTCCCAAACAGTTGGAAAAAAACACTGGCCCAAAAAAACTCCAATCCAAAGCAACAGAAGTCAAACTGAAAAGACAAAGCTACCTCTTGTGTGTGTCAGCTTTGTCCTAGTCATTCTATTATTAAATAACACAGCACACTGGAGTAATTAGGAACTTTGTGTATATAGTGTAATGGGGAGGGAGGAAGCCACCTGAAGCAAGAATAGCCTCCTTCAGAGGACACTGGTGGTGTTACAGCTGGCTTAAAGGCTTACCATCCATGGTGCACCTAGAATAGTACAAAATAGTGTTTGTAGTCAATAATTTAAGATCTGTGTTTTTCTTGCCATTATCTTTTGTTTGTTACTGTTTTTTACTAATTTGTTGTTCCTCAGTACTATAATGGCTGTTATATTGCATTGTGTAAAAATATTTTTGAGTCTGTTAATCTTGCATGAGTATTTGAAGCAGTATAGAATGGATGAGCAATATTTAATACCCATGTATATTTTATTTTATTTTTCTCCTCTAACATTGACCATGTGGGGTTTTCTGCTTCTGACTTAGAGTTTTGAGATGTTCACATCTGAAGCATTTCCAGATCATAGCAATGCTGACAGCCATTATAGTCTTGTCCAGTAATTGAAAAATTTTTTAACTGTTTTCTGGAAGCCCTCTCCTGAGTGGGTCTTGTATAGTAATCTAAAGGCACTGGAATTTCTGTAGTACCTTCTTTTTTTTGAACAGCCTAATAAACAGTATTTTGGACCTTTTTGATAATGAAAAGAAAGGGCAGAATCAATAATACCTCCTGTATGTCTCTAAATCTGCAGTAGTGAACAAGTTTATCCTTGTGGTTCAGGACAATAGTTTTAAAAGTAGCTGTGCAAAAATGTGATGAAAAAGACTAGGTATCTAGGTAATACTTAAATAAACTTGAGAGCTTTGGGACTTTGAGGTGATGATACTTCCTAGTAACTTGGGTTTAAGCAATAGAAAGAGTGCTTAGCATTGACTCATGAAGTTACTTAATTCACAGTTAAATAGCATGAACCCCAGTCAGCTGCTGTAGCTTTTACCAGGACTGTTTAGAATTAGTCTTCTCTGCATTTTAGTTTTGATCGTGCACTTCAGTCAGTGAAACCATATGTGAGTGCGGCTGACGAGTTGTCTCGTACCTACGTGGAAATGAGAGGACAGCTGTACATGCATGCTGGAGCTTTGCTGCTGAAGATGGCCCAGGACAATGAGACACAGTGGAGAGCTATGTGTGAACTAGCAGCATTGTGTTATCTCCTGAGTTTTCAGGTAAATGATTTTTCAGTCTAAGCTTTCACTTGATGCTTTTCTTGAAATTTTCTAGTTGTTCGTGTGTTGAATTCCTGTATTCCTGAGATGAACTAGTGTTTGTGTATCTAAAGGAGAACTGTCCTCACTCACCAAACCCTCCTCTGTCACAATTGTTTAAAAGTTTCAAATGACACAAATAGGCTAAAAGTTACCTTCAATTGTTCCCCTTGCCAGAGTAACCTGATTCTTAAGTATTAGTGCATTTATTTCCTGTAGTGTATTTCCTTTTTCATAATACAAGTACACATGATGAGTTAAATTTTAAAAATTTAAAATTTTAAATTAAAAAAAATCAAGATTCTTTGCTTTATGAATTCTTTGCCTTGACTGTCCTTTTTATACCATTGCTTGCATTGCAGGTATTGCTCTTGTGTACACTTACTTTCAAGAGCCATACTTGCACATCTGTGTACTTTAGGTGGGTTCTCTGCTCTTTGCCCATCCCACACAAAACCATAACCCAATATATGTACCTTCAGAATTAATAATGCCTGTTTTCTTATAGCTTTCTAATGCTAAAAATAAGCTTATTTCTTAATTTCTAAGGTTCATTTAAATGTTCTGCTCTTACTGTGAAAAACCCGTAACAATTTTCTCCTTACTTCACCAGGTTCCTAAACCAAAGTCGAAACTCATAAAGGGGGATCAAACCGGACAAGATATGCTAGAAATGTTGGCCTGTGATCGAAAAAGCCAGTCTGGTAATAAAAAAAGAGTTGCATAGTTCCATTTTAGTGCTGCAGATCTACTGTAAAGTCTAAGATTTGTTAAAGAACACATTTGTGTATCTTGTAACGTTGTCACTCCAGTGTATAGTAAAGCCTTACAGATTCTGACTACATATGTAAAACAAAACAGTACTTTGGTTCTGACACCTAAAGTTATTTTTCTCCTCTTAAGCTGCTGGTTTCAATAGTGGTTGGGTTTTTTCTTCCTTTTTGACTTTCTAGCATGCTAAGGTATAATTTAACTTATATCATCTGTTAAATCTACTGGAAATGGCTTCTGCCTGCTGATGCTATTTTGCAAGTATTGTTAGCCCCAAGAGGGAAAGAAAAGATTAGTTTGTTTCCCTGATCTTTTTATCCTTTCACTTGTTCATCAGCTTAGGTCTCTTTCCTGCCAAGTATAGACAATGTTTCAGTCTACAAAATTCTTAGAGATGAAAACAGATGAAGCTGCCAGACATGAGGTTCATTTACTTCAGAATGGATTTTGTTCTGTTTGTATCACATCTGTAAGGCCACTTGCAATGCCCTTAGAAGAATCATGGTGGGAGGGCTCTGTTTTCCTAAAGAACTGCATTTAAAAATTCTTTGGGGTTGTTGTCACTAAAAGCTTGGAAAGCCTATGTGCTGAAACACTGACCTAATTACAGGGAGAACATACCTGAACAGTCTGTAGGTTTCATAAGGGCAAATCCTGATTCCCATCCAGCTTTCAGTAGCAAAGAGCAGTCCAGCATAGCAAATAGTGCTTTCCTTGTGTTGACTGCTTTATTTATGTGAAGTGGTATTTTTGTTTTCTAGGTCATATGCTGCTGAATTTAAGTCATGGCAAGCAAGACTTCTTTAAAGAGATTGTGGAATCATTTGCAAACAAGAATGGCTCATTTGCATTGTTTGATAGCCTGTTTGAGAGTGGAGCCTCTAGAGAGAGGTCTTTTATTGGCACAGATGATATTGGAAATGTCAGTACACAAGCACCAGTGCAAATAGAACTTCACAAATACGATATTGGTAAGAACTGTTACTTTCTGAAACTCAGCACAGCTTTGCATAGCATAACCTCTTCTGCAAATACTTGTGGAAGAGGTACTGGTACACAAATACTTGTACTGTAACAAAAGACAAATACCTGGAATAGCTGTCCAAAGTTGCCTTAATGTCATAGGAAAGACTTATACTGTATTGCAGTGTGAAGTAGTGCTGCTTCAGTACTTCCTTAAGGATTTTTGGAGAAGTAAATAGGTTTGCTAAAATCAGTTATCTATTGGACAGAATAAGCTGAGAATGGAATAGATGAGAGTCATCCCCTCAGAAGCTTAAGCAGTTGATGGCTTTGAGCACTTAGATGAACTTGGTATGTTTGTCTGTACTGAAGTTTGTAACTCTTTGTAAGTGAAACCTGGAATCTTGATGCTCATTGGTCTTAAAGTGTCTTTGGCCCTTGTGACAGAGAGCAATGTGACACCCAGCTTTGATCAGATAGTGGTACTGAGGGCTTGCAGGAAGCTGTCATTTGCATCCAACCTTGTTTTCTGCGCAGGTGCCATTCGATTGCACAATGGCAGTCTCCAGCACCTCGTGTGGCTTGGCTTGCAGTGGAACTCCATGTCAGTCTTACCCCCCATGCGCAAATGGTTAAAACAGCTCTTCCACTTGCCCCAAGAAACATCAAGACTTGAGACAGATGCTCCTGAATCTATTTGCCTGTTAGACCTTGAAGTAAGTGAACTTTCAAGTTCTTTAAGGTACTGTGCAAATTAAGTTTTTTGTAATTAATAACTTTAATTTCTTTTTTAAAAACAGGTATTCCTACTTGGGGTGATATTCACTAGCAACTTACAACTGCAAGAGAAGTTTAATTCTCACTACAATGCACATCAGCCTCAATTTTTACCATTGCCAATATGCAAACAACTCTATACTGAAAAGCAAAGATCCTGGTGGGATGCTGTTCGTACTCTTCTTCAGAGAAAATCAGTGTAAGGCTTTTTCAATTTGGAAATGTTTGATCAAGCCTTTAGGGAGCATCTGCTACAGCAATTTGGATTGTCTCTATAGATTCTTGTAAAATTAATTTTTTTTACATGTTTTTTACATTGAATCTTTCTTGTAGTAGGGACTTGATATGCTTGAAAGATTTCTGTAAAGGGAATTTTCATTTCTAACAATGCATTTCTTACCTAGAGGCAAATTAGGACTAAAGCTGCAGGCTGTATTCATGAAGTGAATGGTATGTGAACAGACGGCCATCACAAAATACTAATCAAGGAATGTTTCTTATATTCAGACCAGGAACAGCAGCAAAACTGAGGCTTATTGTGCAGCATGGCATAAGTACTCTGCGAACACTGGACAAGCATGGCCTTCAACCTGCCTTAATCATACACTGGGCAAAAAGCTTGCAGAAAACAGTAAGCTGAGATTAGTTTTAAATACATGGAAGCAAAAGTGTTTTTCTTATGTTATCAATTATGAACAGAGTGAGGGGCTGGGGGATGGGATGAATGTGTATTAAGAATATCTGATTATTTTATCAGACAAACTTATTGTTCTTGTCACTTTGTGAAATACTCTTAAACTGTTGTGTTATTTTCTACATGTATGTTACTTAACATAGCTTTTCTGCTTAATATCAGAAAAGGACTTTGGAACTCTTAAAGAAAATAAGAGAAGGATATGTAGGAGTAGCATTTTGACTAGCATTTGTTGAAATAACATCTGCATCTATTTTCTTTTCTTCACCAGGGAATTAACCTTAACTCCTTCTATGACCAGAAGGAATATATTGGACGAAGTGTCTACTACTGGAAGAAAGTTCTGCCTATGCTGGAAACTATCAAAAAGAAGAGGAGTATTTCTGAACCTACTGATCCTCTCTTCAAACACTTCCATAGTGTAGATGTTCAGGTACAGATCAATTGAGACAAGGCTGAAGAGAAGGGTCTGTGTCAGTAATGAACAAAGTTGTGGGATTTTTGTCTACATTGTACTTTTCTATGTTGTTACTACTGTGAAGCTCTCAAAGGTGAGATTTGGTAATAGTGTTTTATAAAGGGGGAAAACTCTCCTTGTGGCTTTGATCTTGCCTTTGAAATGGTATTTATGATTTGAAGGCACTGAACACCCTCAGTACCAACTTACTTGAGAAAGAATTCTCCCCATGTCACAGGAAAAGAGGTTATGTCATTCCATTGTTAAGTGTAAGTTTTGCTTCATTTTATTTGTAGGTCTTTCAGGTTACAGCATATGAAGAAGAGGCACAGATAGCATTTGCTATGTTGGATGCAGTTGATGGCAAAACTGATGATGCTTTAATAGCATTTGAAGCTATTGAGAATGTGGTGTCATACTGGAATCTCGCCATGGTAAGTTTGTAAATAGCGTTACCCAGAAGTGCTTCTATTTATTCAGTTTCCTTCTGACTGATACTACTCACTCTTGCATCCTGTTCTTCAGATTTTCCAAAGAAAAGCAGAAGAAATTGAAAATGATGTCATGCTGCCAGAAGAACATGAGGAACATAAAACTTACCTTCTTAAAGCCAAGTATTATCTAATGAAAATTATTGCAGAAAGCTCCTCAGATATGTCAGTTGCAGAGAAAGTAAGTAATTCTTGCTTTAAAAACTTCTTCCAATGAATGCAGTAGCTTAGGTCTGTTTTGAAAAATGAAATCCTTTGCATTTAAGGTACTTATTTTTGGTCCAGGCTTTCAGGCAAGTTAAATCCTGGGTAACTTCTCTAAATGACCAGATCATGTGGTATCCTGGCTACCCTGTGGATGAAAGCTTTAATGTCAACAAAAAGCTTTTGTCACTGTCTTTTATTTAATAGTTTGAAAAAAAAATTTTTTTTAATAATTTTTGTTTGAGTTGTTTACTTATGTGAATCCTAGCAAGTTAAGAGCTTTGCTGAAAAAAATTCCAGTGTTTACATAATGATAAGACTTGTGAATTGCTCAGCCAGAATTCTAAATGTAGTTGTCTGGTTATGAAGAAGAATTGCAGTCATGACTCATGTTTGAATAAACTTTAGTTACCAGTGTCTCTTGAAACTGTGAGAGAATTGTTGGATACGGTGATCCAGGAACTTGGTGAGAACTGTGAAGAGGGAGGTCTTGCCTTCAGAAACGGTCTGTCACGAACTGTAGATTCAGCAATGAAACATTCTACTCCATCACCAACCAAGTTCTCTTTTTCACCAACTAAGACCTACAAGGTATGTTAGCCAGTTATTATTTCAAGGAATTGTTATCTTGTAAGAAAAATTCAAATGAATCAATTAACTTTTTTTTTTTCCTAGTTCTCTCCAAAAACTCCCCCTCAGTGGGCAGAAGACCATAAATCTATACTTCAAATGATTTGTCAGCAAGTGGAAGCTTTAAAGGTAAAAATTCTGTCACCATTTCCAGTCATGAACTGTTAGTCTTTTAGTTATGGTAAGGATCTAGTGATAAGTGCATGGGCTAACTTACAGTTCCTAGAATTACTTTCTGTAAATAGCTGCATAAAATTAGTACCAGAGTAAATCCTTTTGCTTAAAAGCTCCTCTGTGGGACGTGGGCAGGAGTGCTGAGGCAGCCCGTCTAAGGGACTCTTTCTCTATGTAGAAAGAATTCTGCTTTTATCAGCTTGGTTCTCATCCACCTGGTTCTGTTTTTTTTTACTGGCTTGTTCTGGCTTTAGAACACAATGGAAGTACTTTGTACTCCATGGACATGTCTTGCATGATCTGGCAGGTACTTCTTTTTTTTTTTTTTTTTTTAATTAGTCCCATACCATGGATTGAACATGCTTTTTAATGGTAAAAGGGAGGTGATCATGCCTTATATTCTCTTTGACAAATACCTGTGCAATCAATACTTACACTCTTGCTTGGCACCCTGTCTCAACAGAATGATTTGCAAGAAATGAAACTTAATAATTCCAACACAAATGCATCTCATCGGTGGCCTGCTGAAAACTATGGAAGTGATGCAATACCAGACAGTTATCAGAGAGCACAAAATCTTCATGAAGCCCCTTTAACAGGCAAGTTGCTGCAGAATTTTTATCTAAATGCTTAGCTAAATCAAGATTTTTGAAAACAATGCTAAAATGTTTTAATGATTCACAGTAAAAAAATGATTGCTAGCAAAAATATGTAGAAAACAACAACAAGAAAAGATAAGTGTTGACTGTTTTCCTGGTGTTCCTTTGTAGTTGCTACCACTGGCCCATCTGTGTTCTACAGCCAGTCACCTGCCTATAACTCTCAGTATCTTCTGGGAACTGCTGCAACCAATGTAACACCAGCAAAGGTGAGAATAATTTTTTTTCCTTAAAATGCTTCCAATGATCTGAAAATGACTGACTGGTTTTGATTCTGTACATCATTGGATATAATTGCATTTCCTTATGCAGAATTTGTTGAACTTAAACTCTTAGGGATAAAATTATAATTTGTCTCCCTGCTTAACTTCTGGGATATGGAGTTTGGGTGGAAAAGCTAGAAAAATATTTCATATGTGTGTACATTTCTCGTACAGGTATGTATGATAGCTCTTAACTATTCCCCCCTTAATTGTGTGGCAAAAGAGAATGGGGTTTTCAAAACTTTTTTTCCATGTAAAAGCCACTCATATTGTGCCCCTTTTTCAATGTTTGTTCTCAAATGCCCATCAAGTTTCAAGCTAAGGTAAAACTGGTTTAGGTTTAAACTTGAAAGCATGCCTTTCTTTTAAGAGTGCATGTTACATGGGCTTCAGCACAGTAATATTTTGTTCTCTTTGTTACCATAATAAGCAGAGCACTTGTTTTCTGCTTTTTCTTTAGCCTCCTGTCTATGGCATGAACCGACTTGCGCCTCAGCCACATATATATTCCTATCAGCCACCACCCATGCATACACCACCTCTGCAAAACACTTCTGGTTGTATGTTTTCCCAAGAAATGTATGGCCCACCTCTGCGTTTTGATTCTCCTGGTACTACACTCATTTCTCCTCGTACAGCTGATGACTATTACAACTACAGTGTTCCACAGGCAAGCACCAATCCAACACTGCCTAAACCAGGGTATTTCACAAACCGTTCAGCCACACCACCCACCTTAAAGCCTGCAGAACCAAAACCAATGCCTAAATTTGGACAGCCAGGAACAGCAGAAGGATCAAAACCACCCATGTCAACACCAGCACAGCCAAGTCAGCCGACAACTTTTAAGTTTAAACCCAACTTCAAATCTAATGATGGAGACTTCACTTTTTCTTCTCCTCCTCAAGTTGCTCCACAGCCCCTTAATGCACCTTTTAATAGTAGAGAAAGCCTCTTGGATCTTTTAACATCTGACAAACCTTTACAGGATGATAGATATGTTGATCAAAAGCTAGTTAGTGATCCCACAAACAGTTCAAGAAATATTTTCAATTTTAGCAATAAACATATTCCAGGCATGTCTCTCCGAGATAACACTGGACAAAACGTACACAAAAATGTGGGTTTTGAGAAGAGTGATACATTTAGTGCTCAAGAACCAAGTAAGCCTGTGTTTATGGCTTCAAATTCAGATTTGGCCAATAGAAGTCATGAAACAGAAGGAGGAAGCACCCATGGTGGAGATGAGGATGATGATGGTCCTCATTTTGATCCTGTAGTACCACTTCCTGATAAGATTGAAGTAAAGACAGGTGAGGAAGATGAAGAAGAATTCTTTTGCAACAGAGCCAAGCTCTTTCGTTTTGATGCAGAATCTAAAGAATGGAAAGAAAGGGGTATTGGAAATGTGAAAATACTGAAACATAAAGTATCTGGCAAATTTCGTCTCTTAATGAGACGGGACCAAGTGCTGAAAATCTGTGCAAATCACTACATAAATACTGATATGAAACTAACTCCAAATGCTGCATCAGATAAGTCATTTGTATGGCATGCTTTAGACTATGCAGATGAATTGCCAAAACCAGAACAGCTTGCAATTAGATTTAAAACACCTGAAGAAGCAATGCTTTTCAAAAAAAAGTTTGAGGAGGCACAGAATATTTTAAAATCCTTGGGATCAAATGCTGACACATCTGTGGCTCAGAGCAGTGGAACTGCAAAAGAAACAGCAAATCAGGACATCAAGGAGCCCAACAGAACCACTTCTGGGACCATGAACTTGGGCTTTCAGTTTCTAAAAGATGGAACAAGCAGTGAACCTGACAGCAAAGGCACCCTTGCAGCTACATCCACTGCATCTAGCACTACCTTTTCATTTGGGAAGGATGCTCAGCAAGCCTGTTCTTCTGGTGGGTTTGGGCAGCATCTCTTGAAGAAGGACCAATGGATGTGTAAAGTGTGTTTAGTTCCAAATGAGGCAACTGTAAAGAACTGTGTAGCATGTCAAAGTCCAAATCCAGGTGTGTGGGAAACACATGGCACTCCAATGACTGGCTATGCAAATTTGAAACCAAGTGGTAACACAGTGCAGGACAAGTTTGGATCTCCCTTTGCCAAAAAGGAAGGTCAGTGGGACTGCTCTGTATGCTCAACCCGAAATGAAGCAGAACATGTGAACTGCTCTTCCTGTCAGAGTCCAAAACCTCAAAATCAACCAAATACATCCATACCTTCTGTTCTGGCATCTGCTGGTCTGGAGCTTGGTTCCATTGCTGATTCAAGTAAGCCACAGAAAAATGGGTTTGAAGGGCTTTTTGCTAAAAAGGAAGGTCAGTGGGATTGTAGTACTTGTCTTGTGAGGAACGAAGGTTCTTCGCTAACCTGCGTAGCCTGCGAAACGCCGAATCCATCTGCTAAGCCAGCTGGTGATGCTTTGCCAACTCCTGCTTTTGGCCTGAAAAGTAAATTGCCTGAACTTGGTGGAGGACAGTTGGGAACAGGCTTTAAGTTTGGTCTTGAGCAAGGCAAGACGCCACCATTTACGTTTCAGATTTCTTCTGATACTGAAGCTAAGCCTGCAAAGGAAGGATTTAGCTTTTCAATGCAAATGCCTGCAGGTGGATTTAAATTTGGGATACAGGAGTCTAGTAAATTTGGGATACAGGAGTCTAATAAAAATACCACTAAGAAAGATGAGTCATCCAAAGAGCATACAACTGGTTTCTTAAAAAGCGTTGATGAAAAAGACAAAAAGGAATTGCCCTCAGACAGTGGAATTGGATTCCAATTTCAAGAAACAGCAGACAAGGAGAAAATTGACTTTGTTTTTGGGCAAAATAGCAGCACTTCTACTTTTGCTGAGCTTGCAAAAAGTACTCCTAGGGATGGTTTTCAATTTGGCAAAAAGGACCCTAACTTCAAAGGCTTTTCAGGTGCAGGTGAAAAGTTGTTTTCTTCGCAAAATTCTAAAACAGATCAGAAAGCAAACACCTCTGCTGACCTTAGTGAGAAGGATGATGATGTGTATAGAACAGAGGAGAGCGATGATATCCATTTTGAACCTATAGTTCAGATGCCTGAAAAAGTAGAACCTTTTACAGGAGAGGAAGATGAGAAAGTGTTATACTCCCAGAGAGTAAAGCTGTTCAGGTTTGATCCAGAAACAAGCCAGTGGAAGGAACGTGGGGTGGGCATTCTGAAGATTCTTAAAAACGAAGTTAACGGCAAAGTAAGAATATTGATGCGGCGTGAGCAAGTACTGAAGGTGTGTGCAAATCACTGGATAACAACAACAATGAACTTGAAACAGCTGTCTGGCTCAGACAAAGCATGGATGTGGATGGCCAATGACTTTTCTGATGGTGATGCAAAGTTGGAGCATCTGGCAGCAAAATTCAAGACACCAGAGCAGGCTGAGGAGTTCAAACAGAAGTTTGAAGAATGTCAGAGGCTACTACTAGATATACCACTGCAGACACCGCATAAACTTGTTGATACAGGTAGGACAGCTCAGCTTATACAGAAAGCAGAAGAAATGAAGTGTGGCTTAAAAGATCTCAAAACTTTCCTGACAGATGACAAAACCAAACTGTCAGAAGAGGAAAGTGGAAACCCTGCTTGTACCAGCAGTACTTCTGATTTGGTTATAAAGCCACATGCTGAAAGTACAGGCCCTACTCTGGAGTGGGATAACTATGATTTGCGTGAAGAAGCATTGGATGATAGTGTAAGCAGTTCTGTATATGCATCACCTCTTGCAAGTAGCCCTGTAAGGAAAAATCTGTTTAGATTTGGAGAGTCTACCACTGGTTTTAGTTTCAGCTTTAAATCTGCTTTGAGCCCATCCAAATCTCCTGCCAAACAGAATCAGAGTAGAACATCAGTAGGCACAGATGAAGATTCTGATGTTACTCAAGAAGAGGAAAGAGATGGACAGTACTTTGAACCTGTGGTACCTCTGCCTGATCTTGTGGAAGTGACCAGTGGTGAGGAAAATGAGCAAGTGGTCTTCAGCCATCGAGCCAAACTCTACAGATATGACAAAGATGCAAATCAGTGGAAAGAGAGAGGGATTGGGGATATCAAGATATTGCAGAACTATGACAACAAACAAGTTCGTATAGTAATGAGAAGGGACCAGGTACTAAAACTCTGTGCCAATCACAGGATAACACCAGATATGAATTTGCAACAAATGAAAGGATCTGATAGAGCCTGGGTATGGACTGCATGTGACTTTGCAGATGGGGAAAGAAAAGTGGAACATCTGGCTGTGCGATTCAAGCTGCAAGATGTTGCAGACTCATTTAAGCAAATTTTTGATGAAGCAAAGCATGCCCAAGAGAGAGAGACACTGATAACACCTCTTTCTTCTCGTGCCAATACACCAAAGGAATTTCCGTGTGGTAAAAATGCTGTAGCTGTGCTAGAAGAAACAACCAGAGAAAGAACTGATGTCAGCCATGGTGATGATACTTCTGATACAACTGTAGAGGCTGCAGAGGTGGCAAGTACTTCTGAAACACCAACAAAAACAGTGGTTTCTCCTCCAAAGTTTGTATTTGGATCTGAATCTGTCAAGAGCATTTTCAGTAATGAAAAATCAAAGACGTTCACATTTGGAAATACTTCAGCCACTGGTTCTCTCTTTGGCTTCAGTTTTAATCCCCCAAGAAAGAGTGAAGGCCATATTCCAGCATCTCAGGACACAGCACAGAAAGAGCCAGAAGGCTCTGAACCACTAAAAATCTCAAATGCTACTCAGAAGCCTGTAGACAGCAAGGTAGACAACTTGCCAGCTTCATCACAAGATGGACCGTCCAACTTCTCATTTAGAATTCTGGAAAAAGGTGAGTAGGAGTTTTACTAGTAATTCAAGTATGCAACTTACTAAGCAGTCAGCTCTGTGCTATTCAGTATTGTTGATTCTCTTGAGAATAGGTAGTGTCTTTCAGTTTTGATGCAGTTATCCACATGTTCTCCAGAGGTTCAACTAAAGAAGGGAATTTTAAGTCATATTTTCATTTGAAAATAACTGTATGATGCAGGATGGAAATTTGTGTACTGAGAACAGAATTTTCAGGTAGAGCTTAAACTCTGAAGTGCTGCATCTGAATCTTGGATTTAAATGCCCAAAGAATTTGTGGATTTGCTTTTGGGACTTAAATAGATAGTTGATGCTGTATGTACCTGGGTCTTTGCTCTGAGTGGTCAAGTGTGAGAACAGCAGATGTATGCTTCAGCTAAAAATTGCATTATCCCCATAATTAAGTAGATGGGTATTCTGAAACTTGTCTATACTTTGTTTCAAGTGTTAAATACCAGCCTCTGTAATTTTGGTTGTGTAGCTTAACATCAGATGTCAGCCTGCTTCCTGAGCCTGAAAAAGAGATTGTGATGGAATACTCAGTTGTATGGTTTCTGTTATAGTCTGAAAAAGATGCACAGGCAGAAGCTGTGGCTGTGACATGAGCACTGTAATGGGCTGAAGTGTCTTTGTGAAAAGGATGGCATGTCTCAGAATTATGAACATGTCCTGTCTCTTTATTAGCTTAAGTGTAGTGAAGTGACATGGCAGAAGCTGATAGCTGCAGTTCATTAACATGAGTTGGATAAGCTTGTGTAGAAACAGATGAGATTTCCTGCTGTGAAATATGACTATGGAATTCTTGCAGAACATAGAGAAGTCTGTTCTATCCTTTTAAAATTATATACCAACAATTTATTTTTTTAGGATTTAATTTTAGCCTCTTTAAATCTAATCCAATGGCCTTTTGGACAAGCACATCCTCCATGCAACCTGATAGTAAAGGTATTTACATATTGCACTGAATGTGTGATAAAAACACTCTAGCAGGCATGGACAATAACCCAGCTGGGTCAAAGCAGCTGGCTCAGTAATCCTTATGATTAACATGCATGCTGAAGGAGAGTACTTAAAATTGCGTGTCTGACTACTCTATTTGTCCTGTCAAAGAATGTCTCTAGCCCTTTGTGTGTTTACATGAGCCAGCACAATGGATGGCCCTGTTTAAGCTTTTGGCTTCTGTTTGTCTTATTTTTTGAGGATATGTGCCCTGCACTTCTTCCATCACAGTTTTACTATGTGTGTACACTACATCTCTTAAATTCCATTTTTCTAGAGAAATTACATTTTTATTTTCAGAGAATGCCTTGTGGTGTCTGATGTGGTTTACTCTATGTCAATGAAATAGCCTGAAGATCTTGAGACAGCTTATCCAGTCAAGAGCTTGAATGTATTTAGCCTCTGTGGAAGTGTTAACTGCTGAGCTTTTAGAAAGAAAGAGTGCACAGAAGTGGGAGCCACCTTCATATATAATCCATAGTCCACCTTAGCTGTTAAAAAACTTCTGCCAATTTGTAACCAATTTGTTTACATTCAGATCCTGTAGACAAAACTGCTTCAGCTGATAGTTTGATTATATTTGACTACTAGTGTGCTGCTTGCAAGTGTGCTTGCTGTAAGAATGCTCAACTTAGACGGTTTTAAAAGTGTTTTAATTTTAAATAACAAACTTTTAGTCTGCATAAGACAGTCTTCCAGTATTAGTGTCTTGCATTGTTTCAAAGTGTCAAAATGTCATTTGATAAGCTGTTCTTACTTGAGCACTGAATTCCTGTTCTGTGTACATAACCTAATGTCACTTGCTCTGTGTTTTCAACCATCCCTGTGGATGGAGTTTATGAACAATTCAGTTCTATTTTCATAAGTGTCCATAATGTGGAGTGTTTAATCATTCTGTGCCAATGCACACATGCAAGAACTTTACCTGCCTCGGATTGATCGTGGTTTTATATGGGGCCATATGGCAGGGGGAGCGTATTTAAAGAAACAAAATAAGCCTTTCTGGTACTTTAGACTGTTCGACACTTCTACTTTTCTAATAATTAGGTTATGATTATATTTTTAGTGGTTTGTTCACAGTTGATAATTGTCTTCAGTGTAACTTTTTGTTCTTTGAGCTCTGACTTAATAGCAAAGGATTTTGAGAAGTCCTTCCTAAATTATGTTTTCAAGCCTATCCAGTAAAAATATGATGTGAATTTTTCTTAGGGAAAACTTCTTTTGGGGAATGGTTTCTGAGTTGTGCTAGAACAACATTTAAAAGAAGTTTAACCTTGGTAGTTCTGCACCTCCATGCATTTACGTTTTTCAGAGATCAGGTTATAAACTTCTTCTAAGTTCTTATTTTAGTTTTGGCTGGGATAAAGTTAATTTTTTCTCAGTAGCTGGCACAGTGCTGGGTTTTGGATTCAGTGTGAGAACAATGCTGATTACACACTGATGTTGTGGTTGCTGCTAAGCAGTGCTTACCCTAAGTCAAGGACTTTTTTTTTTTGTCTCATGCTGTGTCATTGAGGAGGTACACAAACAAAAGCTGGGAGGGAGCTTTGCTGGAACTTGAAGTGGCCAAAGGGATATTCCACACCATAGAACATCATGCCCAGTTTATAAACTGGTGGAGTTGTCTGGAAGAGGGGTCAGTAGGAGTGTGGGAATGGAGACTGGCATTGGTCAGCAGGTGGTGAGCAGCTGTATTGTGCCTCATTTGTTTTTCCTTAAGTTTTACTTTTTCATTTTAATACTGTTATTTATTATATGTCACTTCTGTTTCAGTTTTTAAACTGTTTCTATCTCCACCTGCAAATTTTACTTGTGATTCTCCTCCCTATTCCACCAGGTTACAGGATGTGAAGCAGCAGCTCTGTGGCACTTAATTGCCAACTGGGCTTAAACACACCAGTGCTTTACAAGTTTGAGTCATGTCAGTTGCAGGCTACTGTACCTGTTAAAATGCTTTAGGGTTTAAACTGGTGCTTTCCTCTTCTGTTCAGAAGATATTCGTTGATCAATGCATGAGGGGAAATACCAGCATTGTGACTAGCTAGAGAGATTTCATGTCAGTTCAAACAAAAGCAAAAATACAGTACAGCCTTGAAAAGAACAGTTGTGCATGATATTGTCCTGAATTCTGTTTCTTCCATATCCTAGTCTGGGTGAAAAAATCTACACAATTGTTAGGAAGTTCTGTTATCCTAAAATCAGGTCTTTTCAGAATACATTGTATGTATGTGTGGCATTTGTTTCATGGCTGCCTATGAAGATATATTTAAAGTGTTTGCAACAGCAGTCTTTGTTGGTGAAGTCTTTTATCATTTTGAGTAGATGTTTGGAACACTAGAATATATTCCAGTGTTTGATAGATCAGCTTCACTGAGAACTTCACCTTTTGACTAATCTGAAGTGACCTTAAATATGTTTCTCTTACTCAGGTATTTTGCCCAAAGGGTACTGAAAGAGACTGCATGATAACTCCTTAAATGCTGTCAAACCTGATGAGCAATGAGTGTGGTAAAACACTGGAACAGTGTATTTGTTGCCATGGCTTCTAGCTGGATTTCTACTGCACAAATTAAAGAAAGCACATGTTTTTACCATCCATCTATCTGACTTGAAAGAAGTGTTTTGTTACATTCAAAGATATATTTTTGAAAATTTTCTGATTCTAAGGAAAGCTGCTTCTTGTTGTAGGACTAAATGCTCAACACTTAAACCTCAGGTGAATTTGATGCAAACTTAGTCCAATTAAGACACTTGCTTAACTAACCAGAAAGAATAAAACACATAGCAGGATAGCTGCATATCTTCATAACACACTACTAGATGTACTTCTAATCCTTAATCAGCTAGGGTGACTGAGGTTTTTGGATTCTGAGAAGATGTATGAAAACACATATGTCTCGCAGTCATGATATGAACGTAGAAATTTGCTGTTCAGGAATTTGATCCTACATGTACTTTCTGCAGGCTCAGAGAACTTACTGACATCTAAAAATATGAGCAGAAAGGATTAGTGTAGGAGAGTCTGCTGGTGATGGGTATGAGTTACTTTGTAGCTCTGGTGTATAAATGCTTGAAGTTAACAACTTGTAAACAAAGGTGGGGCAAAGACTGAAGTGGTAATAATCTGAAAAAATACATAAATTTGAATCAGTACTTGGGATTTTGCTGTTACTTTACTTCATGCTGCTCTTCATCTACTGGATGATTAAATAAAAAGTAATGAAGGCTGCTTTTAATAAGCAGACTTATTTTAGTGTGTTAGTTGTCTCAGAGGATCAAAAGACTTGTCTGTAAATGTTTCCCATGTCCTTTTCTCCTCTTGCAATGATAAGTTAACCTGTATAATCAGAAAAATCAATGTTTTTCAGGAGCTGGGTACTACTTTTCTACTGGCTACTGGGTACTGGTTTCTAGCTGGATAGTTAGGTTTTCTGTGATTACACTGTGCCACAGACTTATTTTTTTTTTTTTTTAATGAAAAGCAAAGCAAGCTTTTGAGACCACCCTTCAGATACTGACTAAATTAAATCTAGAGAACAAATAATAGACTGTTAGCAAATAGGCTGAGGTACTAAAGCAATCATTTTGTTCTTAGAAACAGCTGTTGTGGCTATTGATGTGCTTATGGGGTAATTATTAAAAATAATTCACAGATTTATTTCTTAGCCCTTTATCCCCAACTTCCCCTTCTCAAAATAACACAACCTAAACAAGCAGAACCCCAACCAAACCATACCTGATGTTTAAATTGCTATATCCTCTCTTTGCTTCCATTCTCTCAAAATAAATATTTGTTTCCAAAGCTGTCTTGCAGCCATATATTTTTATCTGCGGTTTGATCTAGGCTTTACTTTCACCTTTAATCTTTGCACTGATCATGCACTGTTCTCAACACTGGTGGAAGGAATAATTTAATGTTGAAGACAAGAAGACAAAAAGTTAAATAATACAACTGATGGTGATATTTCCATGCTGCAAAAGCTAGTTAAATAGTCTGAAAGCGATGGGTTTTTTTGTTTGATAATGGAACTAAGAATTACTTTACTTTTGTAACAATCAAAGTTTTAGCAAAAGCTGTTATGGTAAATTTATTATTAGCTAATAAAAAGCTCAGCTATCCCATAAGTAATCTGAAATGCGTTCTATTCAGTTGCTTGGACAGGTTGTTGTTCACAACTTCATTTTTTTTCAGGCCTGAAATTTTCTTATTTACCTCTGTTGGTCACCTCTGTCACTCTTCTCTGTAGCTAGCTCTTATTTGACACGAGGACTTAATTAAACAATCTGTTTAATAATATAAAGATGCAGCCCTGTTTCGTTTTAATGCTTGAATTCCAAAAGCAATAGAACCGTGTGTAAGTTTTGCTGTTCTGTCTTTGACTCCTCTAAGTTTGTTTCCTGCCTATCAGCAGAAAATACATAGGCCCTTAGAATTCGGTTCCAAAATAATGTGGGGTTAATGTTATTTCCTATTCTGAAATTATTCAGTTTTAATTGTTTGTTCAATTTCTGTAAAAAAGCTGAGAAGACCAGAGTGTCAGAGGATGATGTTCCATCTGATGAGGTTGTAATAGTTTACGAGTTAACACCTACCCCTGAACAGAGAGCGCTTGCTGACTTCCTCAAGCTCCCTTCAACATTCTTCTGTTACAAGAATAAGCCTGGATATGCAAGTGACGAGGATGATGGTAAGGAATGCCAAAATTTCTAATTGTACTACCTTTTTGTGGGGGAAGGGTGTGTGCAGTGTGCAGTTTGGTGTAAGAAGGATCTCAAACTGTTGGATGGTGACCAAGGTGAGCAGCCTTGAGTGCCAGACTCAGAGGAGTGGCTGAGGTCACTTGGTTTGTTCAGCTGGGAGAAGACAAGGCTGAGGAGTGACCTTGGCACAGTCCCAAACTTCCTCAAGGGATCAGCAGAGGAGGAGGTGCTGATCTCCTCTTTCTGCTGCTCAGCTATAGGACACAAGGAAATGGAATGAAGCTGTCAGGGAAGTTCAGATTAGGAAAATGTTTTCCTTTGAGAGGGTGGTCAGGCCCTGGAACAGGCTCCCAAGGACAGCAGTTAGAGGAGCATGCCCATCAGAGGCCAAGCAACATCTGGGTGATGCACTCAGTCATATGGCTTGGTTTTAGGTAATCCTGCAAGGAGCAGTGAGCTGCAGTTGGTGATCCTTATGGGTCCCTTCCAACTTGAGATAGTTAGCACTGTTAGAACCATTAGTCACTGAAATATTTTTGTGTGGGCCAGTGAGAAGTAATCATGTCCGTGTCCTCCTTGTGGCCAAAGATGCTCAATCTCCAAAATAGAATAGTACAGTGGAGGCTCAGGAGTGACTAACGGGTATTTGTTTGATGTATTATGGGTGTTGACATCATTACCAAGGTATTTGGTTAGGTAAGAGGTATTTGAGTAAGAGACCTACATAAGTAAGTATTTTGAGACAAATAAAAAAGCATTTTTTATTAAAAACAATCAATCTAAGGTTTCTGAAGTGCTATACTAATAAGTTACTTTTCTTCTAAATCAAATTCCTAATACTATTAGTTAACTTACTTTATGTCAAACCTTACTGCATGTAATTAAGATTGATTGATTTTATTCAGCAGCATATATTTTAAATGGAAATTCTGAAACACTGTATTCAACAGAAAATGAGAGAAGACAAGCCCCCTCCCACAAGTACCTGAGCTTGCAAGGTTTTTTTGTAAAAAATCTTCAGTCTTCTTTCCCAAATCTGTTTAGTGATAGTCTTAATAAAATCATTCAGTAAGAAATGTTTTCCACAAGCAAAACCTGTGCCACATATCTGTAGCAATCTAGGCTTAGAAGAAGTGTTAATAGCACTCTAGAGGACATGTAAGCAAAACTAGAAGTGACAGCTTACTTGTTGATTTGTGTAACTCTTAAAGTATAAGCAAAAATGACATACGCCTGCTAGCCTTGTGAGTTGGAAGGGCGTAGCAGACTTCTTTAACCTGGAGTGTGCCTGAGAGCTTACTCTTTTTTGCTGTGTTTAAGATGAAGACTATGAAACAGCTGTTAAGAAACTTAATGGAAGACTCTATCCCAGTGATTCAGATGAGAAAAAGAAAGGGCAAGGTCCTGTGAAAGGTATGTCTTAAGAAATTTTCATTATTGTACTTCATGTACTGAGACAAAATCTGAATCTGAAGGACACATGGGCAGAGGTTAATTTTTTATTTCCTGGGATGGTTTCTAGAAGCAGAGGTGCTGGGTGCAGAAAGCCTGCATCTCAACAAACAGAGTTAAGCTCAGTATATTAAACTACTGGTTAGCAGTAAAGGGGTACCTGAAAGAGAAATGTGCAATCCAGATGATCTCTAAATAAGAATATCAAAGTCTCTTCCTATCTTGAGTTCCTTCTGAATATGAAAAACTTGAAAATTTCAGCTTGGCATGATACTGCTCAAGAGAAAGTTGTCTACATCTTTGAATACTTGCTACTTCTGTAGTTACTCAATTGAAGCTTTTGAGTTAATGTTGTTCAATCTAAAAAATGCTGTTTGGTCTCCATACTAAAAGTACAGGTGTAGACAACTTGCTTATGTGTGTCTGACTGTCTCTCAGACTTCAGCATTACATAACTTGAAGGTAGGTACTTCTAGAAGTAAAGTTTGGGGTTTCTTTGAGGATATGTGCTAGAAGGAATTAATCCATCTGAAATGTTAGAAGATAGTGAAGGAAGTTAGTAGTAGTGGCAGCTGCATGATGAAATTCTTCATCATTGCATGGAAATTCCCTGATAGCAGTAAAAACCCACTGATTATGTATTTTCAATTCTAGTCACCCCAGGTTAGTCTTCCCTTCCACTATTTAAACAGTAATGCTGGTGTCTGTGAAACTCATGAAGTCTGTCTTCAAGTTGATCGGGCTATTATGAGCCAGATATTATTACAATTTATAATGTCAGGGCTAAAAATTATTTCAGTATGTAGCTACCTTCACAGCTATTTTCCATTGATTTTTTTTTACAGCAGGCCTTGCAAAGAAGAGTGAATTTAACAATGAAAGAGAATGTGCTGCTACTTTGGAAAAGAAACCAGCTCCTGAGGAGAAAGATGGAACAAAAGCTCTGCAGGTTCCTTCTGCATCTGTTTGTGGTGTCAGTACTCATACTGAGGGTGACAGTCTGGAAAACTTAAAGTCAGAAGCTAAAATTCAAGAAATGAAAGTAAGAACTAAAACTTTACTGAACTTCTTGTTACTAAACTTGTACAATTACTTCATGTATGTGTGAGACAGTACAGTTCTACAACTAAAACATCCAGTGGGGAAAAACTGAGTTTTTTCTAGCAGTGCCTCAAGTATATGCCAATGCAGCAGATTTGATTTCAGGAAATAATAGTATTATTTTGAAAACAGACTATTTCAAAGATACTTTAGTCTCTTGTCAAGTTAACATCCTTATGTGTTAACAGTAAAAAAAACTTCAGAAAGCTTGCAGCAATTTTTCTTGGTGTTCTTTATTTTTCTGTGAGGACTGTTCTTAGACTCATGGGGAGGAGGTTTCAATCCTAAGGTCTTCTAACTTACTTACCTATTACATTACTTTTTTGATTAATTGCAGGAGAATGAAGTTGCAAGCTCAAGTGACTTAGTCTCTACCAGTAAGGAAGAAATACCCATTCCATCAAAAGATGAGGTGACAGAACTTGCCCAGTCAGGTACCAGCAGTGAAGAATCACATTCCACCCCAGAAACTGTGCAAGTATCACAGACCTTATCACGAGCTGAAGACAAACCTGTAGATTTGTCAACCAAAAAGAGTGATTCAGATGGTTCAGAGTCAACACAAGGTAAAGTCAGGGGTATATGCTGAGGTTTTTTTGTAGGAAGCTGTGCTTTTCTGTGGATCAGTTTACCAAGCATAGTTGCTGTCATGGGGAGTAGTACCAATACTGAATTAGAAACATAGGTACTAGTCTGGTAAAAATATGTATATATCAAATTTTGAGTTGAATTTTGCTGCAACAAAACAATGCTAGTGTCTATTGTGTAATTTAAATATGATGGACTTTCATTAGCTTACTGTTAAATACCACATGAGCTCTGTGGATTGGCATATAAGTAGTATGCTGAAACTCAGAGTCTTGGGCCCATTTTTCAAACCATAATCGATGGGCATTATGAGAAGTGCCATTCAAACTTCAAATTTATTGGGAGGAAGGAAACAATGCTTTAGTCAGTTCTCCAGTTCATTCTTGTGACTACATAAATGCATTTTCTTTAAGAAGGTAGAGAAAAATCTTTGACTTTCTCCTTTTTATTTGATAGAAAACAGAATCATCTCATTTGGTTTTGGCAATACCGCAGGCCTGTCATTTGCAGATCTGGCATCCAAAAGTTCTGAAGACTTTGCTTTTGGCTCAAAAGGTGAGTTCAGCTAGTTTGAGACAAACCTCTCCTGGACTTTTGCTTCATACAATATATCTTTTGTGCACAAAATGTCTGCTGGTCATTAGAAACAACAATTTTTTGCAAGTTTTTGTCAGAAAGAAAAAAAAAACTACATTAATTTTAAAATGTCACTCTCTTAATTGTAGATAAAAACTTCAAATGGGCAAATACAGGAGCAACTGTGTTTGGAGATACAACCCGTAAAGCAGATGAAGATGAAGGTGGTAGTGATGATGAGGTAGTACATAGTGATGATATCCACTTTGAGCCAATTGTGTCCTTACCAGAGGTAAGATGATTTCTGGAATATAAAACAACAATTAAGATAACTGTCTCTGCTAACATAGCAAGCTTTAAAATGTTTTGCTTAACTAGCTTTGCTTTCAATGTTGTTGTGCCTTGTTCTGCATGTTTTACACTATGTTGAAGCACCTGTTGTTTTAAACCCTAATACAGCATAGCCCTGGGGAGCTGTCTGGTGCCTCAGTTAAGATCTTCAAGTGATTTCTTTATAACTTGACTGAGAGTTGATGAGGATGCACATTTGTACACATAGCTCGTAAAAGCTAAACCATTTGTATAGCGTAGTTTAAAATCAGGAAGGGGGAACTGAATAACTGCTCGTGCTTATACAACTCAGCTGTGGCTTTGTATCAGTGACCTGTACATTCAGTTCTGTGAAAGCTATGCCAACTAACAGTCTTTAAGCTAGGCAAGAGATTCCTAGAATCACTAGGAAAAAAGATGTACAATTAATGTCACCTGAAGGCTAAGGGAACTAACTGTTTTAGTTTGAAAATAAATGTTTTTTCAAGAAGTAGGATAAACTTCAGCTTTGAAGGTAAAAACCAAATCAAGACATGAATAACTGTGAACTTACTGAGACTTCACACAGTTATTCATGTCTTGATTTGGATTTTAGCCTAGTAACTATTTCAGACTCTCTTGATGATATATTCTCTGACCTCTCTATAAATAATAAAATTTAACCATATATTAGTACAATTATTGAGCAGGGCCAATAGAGTATAAAGGAACTGTATGTGGTGTCCTTCAATTTGAACAGCTG